GGGGGCTGGCTGACAGGAGCACGGCGCACCGCGTCTAATTGTCACTAAGTGGGTGTCGCTCCAGCCACGCCCACCTGCCGGGCTGCGCGAGCGCGGCCCGCGCGCAAAATAAAAATATCTCTCCAACCTTCCGCGGCGGAACGGGCGGGGAAGGGGGGGGGGAAGTTACCCACCACCACCACCAACTCCGTTTATTGCCACCCTTTTAGTTATTTTTCGCACCTGCACGTCGGCAGCGCGCGGTCCGCATGAGACGGCGGTGGCAGAGGTGGAAAAGGAAGCAGAAAGGCAGTGATGAACGCGGTCGTTTCAGATTGGTGGTGTGGTCGGGAAGAGGAAGGAAAAGGGGGGTGGGGACGGGGAGCTGAGGCGAGTGCGGTGTAGAACAGCGGTGACCAGCGGTCACAAGCGGTCACAATCGATCGCCCCGCCGAGGGCCGAGGTGGCGGGGGAGCCGGGCCGCGCCGCCACCCGCACCTGGGGGGCCTAAGTGATCAGGTGCTCCACTCATTGCCATGCAGCAGCAGCTTGCAGGAAGGAGAGGAGAAGGATGGCAGGCAGGAGAAGAAAAAAAACATTTTACCATAGTTTAGAATTTTACATATACACGCCTTAATCCATCTTCTTCTCTCTCTTTTTTTTTCCAACTTGGAGATGTCGATGATCCAAGCAATTTTTTCCATCAGACAGCAAGCTGCAGCGGAGCAGAATACGGCCCACCCGGCGTGGCGGGGCGTGGCGGGGCGTGGCGGGGCGTGGCGGGGCGTGGCGTGGTCCCTGCGTCATTCATCATCAGGATCACCACCATCACATCACCCCATTTCCCCTCCGGCTGTCCCTTCTCTCCACCTTTTACATTCATCTTCACAGGTTGACGCCTCGCGGGAGTCCCTCTCGCTCTTCCTTTTCTCTTTCCACCTTATTCCACGAAAATCTCTTTCTTTTACCCCCCCCCCCACCACCACCACTAGGAAGCCCCCGCTAACCCCACCCTTGCGTGTGTCTCCAGACCCACCGCCCTACCCCCACTGCCCTCAGCACTCAGGTCACTAGAATTTATAAACCACCACCCCTTTTTTCACCACTCGTTTCACACACGCACGCACACGGTGTGCGTCGATATAGAAAAACTCGCCCCCCCCCATTGCGATCCGAATGTCTGAACACCAGAGTGTCGGTTTCTGCACGCATCGGTGGAGGTTGAAAGTACGGCGCTGGGGGAAAAAGGGGGAGGGGGGGCTGTAGGTATAGGTGTGTGTGTGTGTGTGTGTGTGTGTGTGTGTGTGTATGTATGTGTGAGAGAGGGGGGGGGGGGGCTTTTGCTTTTTTACCTTTACTCCTCCCTCGCGCCAGACGCCACCGCGTCTCGTGACCCGAAACGGCCCCCTCTCCCCCATAACGCCCTAAACTTTCGGCCTTTGCACTATGCCCTGCTTCTCAGTCTCTATCCGTCTCCAGCTGCCAGCAGCCACACAGCGTGTAGATTGGTGTTATATAGTGGTTATGTTGTTGCATCTATTGGTCGACTAACTTTCGTAGTGGCAAACAAGGAGGTGAGGGGGGACTTTTCCTTCTGGTAGAGACAGTCTTTAGGGGACTATGTCTAAAAGAGTAACCGCCATGTTCGAGCAAAAAGTGAGATTACGATAGCGAACACTTCATTGGCCTGAAGAGCGAAAAAGCCTCGCAAGAGTCTCAACGACATCTGCATTAAGTCTCTACAATACTGTATCAGCGCAGAGATAGACAACTCGAGTCTGATCGTTGGAGAGGTTGGAGAGACGAGTTCCACCAACAAGCGCATGCGCAAACGGAGTCAAGTCTATTTTGACGCGGCCAGTGGAGGCCTAGGCCGGCCTAGCCTGGCGGCGTCGGCGGCAGTACTGTATTTGCGTTCCGCCTACTGTACTTTTTGTCCTTGTCGCTCATTTAAGCCATGAGTGCGACAGCGGCCGGAAACCTCGCATATTTGTTGCGCAACACCCGCGTGCCAGGGTGGGCTGCGCTCGCGGGGGAGGGAGGAGGTGGGGCGATACCCCATAGATCAGCTGATGAGAAGGTGCGTTGGAGTGCGGGGGAAAAGGGGG